CCATACCTAAAACTTTCTTCGCCACATTTTCCTCATCCCTCCGCATGCGTAAAACACCAACCAGAAACCAGACATAAAAAAATAATCAACAAAACCCTTTGTAATGTTACACGTTGACCATAAAAAAGTACCCACACAAATTGATTAGTATCAAAACTATAATGTAACCGTTCAAATTGTAAACTGTTTAACGAAAATAAAGTAATATTTAACGTAATATTTAAATGTTTGAGTGATGACGTATAATATAGCAATATATGAAGTGAAAAATGGTTCGTGTGGTGACGGATTAAGAATACGGAGTGTTGCCACCCCTATTCATCCCGTGGGTGTAGTAAGAGCCGACTAAGGGAAAAACTACGCAGGACAACAGCACTGCAAAGAGAAGGAAAGCTTGACACAAACCCTTTTTTTTTTTATTTATTTATTTATTTAATACTTAGGTTCTTCACAGCTGACAGTATATATTTTACATAATAATAGTCGAACAATACGCCAATTACGAAGTAGACAATTAATTGAAGGTAAATACACAGCAAGAGTAAACAATTCTGTATGAATATACCTAAAACAGTGCATCTCAAATATAGCTACACAGATAGCAATAATGTTGTTGGTATGTGGAGTGGTGTGTGTAAGTGAATGTGGAGTAGTGTGTGTAAGTGAATGTGGTGAGTGGTGTTTGTATAGCGTGTGTGGGATGTTCAAAGTGTGATGGTATGTTTTTGTGGCAATTCTTGTGCTTGGGACAAAATCTGAATAATTTTATTTTTGTACGAATTTCGGGGAGTGTTAAAGGGATCCAGAGATGAGAAACCGATATTGTATATATGTGGAATACGGATGAATGGTGTCATTTTGATGTAGTTCGTTGTTGCAGATGGGGTTGCGAGTAATGATGTATGTCGGGTACGGCGCGAAGGAACACTAAAATTAATTTGCTCTAAAAATGTGTTGCAGTCAAATTTATTGTTGAGGATGTCGTACAAGAACATCATGTCTGCGATTTGGCGTCGATCTTCCAGTGTATTTATTTTGTAATATTGACATGATTGCTCATATGTCATGTTTTTTACTTGGGCTTTATAGTTTAAGTGTTTAATGAATTTCTGTTGTATTCTCTCAATTAAGCCTATTTGAGATTTTAGAAATGGTCTCCAGATGATACTTGCAAATTCCAAGACACTTCGAACATAGCTGTAATAAAGAACCTTAAGACAGTGTAGGTCTTTAAACGGTTTACTATTGCGTATGACAAACCCCAGTGATTTATAGGCCTTACTGATTACTTGATCAACGTGCACTTTAAATGTAAACTTACTGTCTAAAATAACACCTAAGTCCCTTATCTGTGATGTTCTGGGAATAGACTCATAGCTTATGCTATAGTCATAGCTGATAAGGTGTTTTTTCCGAGTAAAGCTAATTATTTGGCATTTTTGAGCATTAACACTTATTTTATTGAGTTGATAATAGTCACGTTTTTTTTATAACGTGTGGAAATCCCCTCGGACCGTCACCCCTCCGGGGTTTGCGGCGGGGTGGTGTGTCGGACTCGGACCGACTAAAACCACACGGTGTGCCACTCTGCGCCTGTAACAGGAGGGATCCGGGAACAGCTGTTGTTAAGACATCCGGACCCCTCCTAGCGCCAGCCCGCTCCTGGTGCGGGCTCCGCCTCAATTTTTTTTTTTTTTTTTTTTTTTTTTTTCCCTCTCTTTAGGCGACCTCCGGCACACGCGGACGCCGCCCCCTCGCGGCTGGCCAAACTAATGCGGGTGGAGGGGAAACCCACCCCGTCTACCCGCGGCCACACTCAGGGCGGCATGAGGCGGTGATAGGCGGGCCTCCGCCGCCCGGTTCGCCGGCGGCGGATCGGGTCCGAGTGGAGGTCGTCCTCCCGGGCCCTCTCCGCCGCCTCCCCTCGCAAGATTACTACCTCGCAGAAGGTTGCGACCGCGGTAAAACAACTGTCGCTACCGGCCATGGAGCGTACTACGGCCGGTAGCGAGAGATCCACTCCGATGACTGCAGTGAGGGCCCGGCGCTGCGCCGCCCATGCGGGGCAGACCGCCAGCGTGTGCTGGGCCGAGTCCTCACTGCAGTCGCAGTGGTGGCAGGCGGGACTCAGTTCCCTCCTAGCGACCGAGTGCAGGTACTTTCCGAAGCAACCGTGCCCGGAAAGCACCTGCGTCAGCCGGAAGGAAAGGGTCCCGTGCTGCCGCCCTGCCCACTCGGCGATGACCGGCTGGAGAGCCTCCACGGCGGCGAAGCCAGCGCGTGGAGTCTCCAGCCGGAACGACCAACGAGCCATCGTGGCTCGGCGAGCGGCTTCGCGCCACCCCCGCACATCCTCGGGCGGAGGGCGAAATCCGCTCTCCGCCCGGGAGTCAGCCACTCGCCGATAAACTTCGGCGAGCACTTCCGCCTCCAAATCCCACGGGGGAGTTCCGGCCAACGCGCATGCCACCTCCGTCGAAACGGTGCGGTAACCGCGTATGGCTCTGACCGCCATTACCCTCTGAGGGCGCCAGAGGCGTGCCCTATTCTGGGCGGTCAGAGCCGCCGCCCACACCGGTGCACCGTACAGTGCCATTGACCGGACGACCCCCGTGTACAGCCGTCTTGTCGCGACGCTGGGTCCACCCATATTGGGCAAAAGGGCAGACGCAGCGCCGACCAGCTTTGGAGCAAGCTGTCAGAAGTGCTCGTCGAAGAGCCACCTCCCGTCGAGGATCAGACCCAGAAACCCTATACCAACCCGTTACCAGCGTGGTATAGTAGACCAAAACCTTCTTTCTAAGGAGAGGCCTATGTATAGCAGTGTACTATTGAAGGCTGTTGATGATGATGATTGATGAAGTGAAAAATATATTCTCATATAAGTGAAATGTAAATTTATTTTGGAGGAAAATAAATTATTTACCCACAAAATCAAAAAAGAGCTAATAATTATGACGATGATGGCGAAATAGAAACCGTAAAACTTGGTATGTTAGATTGAATAGTATCCATAAATGTTGTTTAATTTCGTAAGCTTGTCTCCATGCATTTTAATCCTTACAAGATATCTCGGTCCCACATAGCTTCTTTGATCGTTTAAATACAATCTCTAACAAGGACTTCATCAAGGTCTGGTTTCTGTATTCTCGGCAAGTACGCTGACAATTTATTTGTTTGTTTCAAAACGAACTAAGTAACGGTCAGAATCAAATGATTCTTTATGTATTAGATACAGAATTTATTGGTGATAATTCAGACTATGAAACAACACCCACTTACAAGCCTGAAGAGCAGAGCAGGGACAAGGCCTTAGGAGTAAATGGAACTGCATCTGTGTTTATGGCACCCGCTCTACAGAATATCTAGGTTTTTTTATGGTAAAAGGGGGCAAACGAGCAGACGGGTCACCAACTGCCGCCGCCCATGGACACCTGCAACTCAAAAGTCACAAGTGCGTTGCTGCCCTTGGAGTCTCTCCCGCTCGTGTCAGCGGGAGGGGAGATTTGGGCTCCGGTAACCTCACTCCCACTTAGTAGGCCAAAACCTCCTTTCTAAGGAGAGGCTTATGTCCAGCAGTGGACTATTAAAGGCTGTGATGTGAACCTCACTCACTTAACACCGGTTTTCTGTGAGGCCTTGGTATCACTCCGGTCGAGCCGGCCCATTCGTGCCGTAGCATGGCTCTCCCACGGTAGGTTGTCAATGAAACTAGTAATAGAGTACAAAGTTGATCCAAAATCTTCCATAATGTTCAATTTAACTGTTTCACTTAAAACGCCATTATAACACCAAATCCCATACCATTTCGCCATATTATTATGTCGCAATACAACAAAGCGTTTACGTCATAATGGACATTTGGCATAAATTGTTTGCCGTCAATTTCATTTCAAAACTCAGTTACTGTACATTGTGATTTTGGTGTGACTAACGAACTACGATTTGTAGAATACGACCAACATGTAATATTATTATAATGTCTTAAAGCTTTGTACTTTTTGATAAAATAATGATGTGCATAAACGATGAAATACAGTTTTACATAAAAATATGGATCATACAACAGGCTGACCCTTGTAAACACGGCCAGTACAACGTCATTTATTACACAAAGTGTTAGGAAAATGAACCACTACACCATCCGTGCAATCACGTTAAGTCCCGTTTGTGTATTTCCATAATGCGTTAGATGACTGTCAAGTCAAATTAGTACTTTTTATTAAAATTAACTTTTTAATTAACTTTTTATTAATTATTTAAATTATTTTGTAATAATAATGGAGCTTAAGTTTATTATGTGAATTCTTTAGTCTGTTAACATACTCATATAAACTTTGTAATAGAACGTTGTGTATAGTTATAACTGGACTTCAGATTTAAGTATTGTATATTGTCAACATAATTGTGTATGTGCTAATCTGTTATCTGTTACTGTACCTATTAGATAAAAATAAATAAAATAAACGTCAAAATGACATACGCGGTACTTTATTGTATGAAACGCTAAGGTGACGTCATCGCTAGCTTTTGTTACCCTTTCGTACGTGACGAGTCCTGTAGCAGGACACGTCAATAATCGAGCATCTGTGACGCGTCCTGTCACAGGACGCGGCACAGATGTTCGAAAATATCTACATTTTTATAACCTAGGTCTCAAAAAATACCCTATCTGTGACGAGTCCTGTACTGGGATTCACGGATGCGCGGAATTGTCATTTTATTATGTCACGTACGAAAGGTTAAATCATTTACTCTCAATGTTAATTTGAGGCTTTAAAAAAAATATAAACATTAAATTGATGATTGAGGACAAGTCATGCTGTACTTTAAGATGTTAATTTAACGGTTCAGCAAAAATAATTCATTTAAACTGAGGATTCTAGTGAAATAGTGATCACCCCAGTTTTTTATTATCTTATAATAAAACTACTCAATATTTAAAGCTTACTATGGATTTAAAATTGTAATTTAAAGGTCCTTCTGATATCCTGACTTACCTAGTGAACAGACCGGTGTTGGTAAGCCCGTACTTGGTCTCCCCAGCCTTGATGTATATCTTGCAGGCATCGTGTTGCCTGCAGCACGTGTCCGTGAAGAAAAACAGCCCAAGGTCGCTGGAGCGGGCTGATGCAGATCGCCCATCACCGCACCAGACAGTACCTAGACATTTTTTAAAGTTAACATTTAATTCACTTATCACTACTACCAGAGAATAATGATGGAACAATGAAAAAAAAACTGAATTAATGTATTCATGAATGAATAATTACATAAATAAATTAGGAAAATAAAAGTGTAGAAATGAATGGGTAAATAAATGAAGGAATGACTGAATAAAGAGTTAACACTTCAATTAGTTTAGACCAAAATCGATGAATCTCTCCATACCTGGATAAATAGCTTGAACGCGATCCTTGAACTGTTCTACGACAGAATTGGCAACGTTTGCCACACTGGTCACTCCTGAAGCCACTCCTGATGCTATCCCGGACACAAAGCCCCGGTCATTGTCCAACGACCCTATATCCCGGACCCCTGCCATTAACTGGCTCAAAGGTCTGCTGATTCCTGAGGAGATGGTTTTGAGGATGCCGCGGCCGAACTGACCTGAAAAGTTGATCATGACTATAGCGGATGTGTTTGTTACTAAAAGATATGGTCATATTTTATGGTCATGTAGTTGACTGTTTAAATTGGTTACTAATTACAATTCTTAATTTTAGTACTTTAATTTTATTTAGAAACCTACAAATCGGACCAAAATATTGAGCGATGAAGCTAATATTTCATAAGCGAGAGAACTACACATTAAATACCAAGATTTTTTGAAATATCTGAATCAATTAACATTAATAAATATCCGTGTGGTAACGGATTAAGCATACGGAGTGCCACCACCCCTATTTATCCCGTGGGTATCGTAAGAGAGGACTAAGGAAGCAAACTACGCAGGACTGTACTGCAAAGAAAAGGCAAACTTGAAGCAATATACCAACCGTCTGGCCAGCGTTGTATAGTAGGCCAAAACCTCCTTTCTAAGGAGAGGCCTATGTCCAGAAATGGACAATTAAAGGCTGTCAATGATGATAACATTTTGTTAAGAACATAATTATATACAGAAAGGCTTCTTCCAAAAGTCCATTTGAAGTCATTTTTAAGTTTCCAAGTTATTATGTCATTATGTATGTATTGATGCCCTGATCTTAATTTTCTTGGTTAATAATAAATAATTAATAAGGGAATACATAAATTTAATGTGACTGCATGGATGGCGTAGTGGTTTAAGCGGTCGCCATGCCGCTTATGGTATAGGAGCTAGCAACGTTTTCGAGAAAGAATTTTAGGTCAGCTGATTTTGTGATATGTCGTCCTTCTGGCACTTTCGGTTAGACTCTGGGCTATCTGGCTGGCGGTAGCGGTTGCGTTCATTAGTGCGCATCCTACCTGTCCAGGTAATAATCCTGTATTTTAAAAACATTTTAGAAGGCGTAATTTTTAATTTTTTGTTTTTAAATAAGTCTACCTGACATACTTTTTTTATTGCCAGACATTTTTGACAATGCTAACGATTTTTTCTTTTTGTTTTATAAAAATTTCAAAGTATTTTATAATGTCTGTAATTTTAATATTATGTTATTTAAAGATAAGAAAAACTTAAAATAAATTTGCCAGACATTAATTCGATTGTTAAGTCTTGAATTAAAATTAAAAGTCATGAAAAGTATTGCAGAATAATGCTAGTAGTCCGAGAGAGATAGTTGCAGAATAAGTCGAGAATGATACAGAGAACCATTACGAAAGTAAATTACTTTTCACTGTGCATATAATAAAAATAATAATAATAAGAATAATAGATAATAATCATCATTCTAGTCAGAGCAAGTTTCAAAAAAAAATTAAGCATAAAAAGGAATATAAAATTAGATTATTTACTTTGAACAATAATATCTGGAACTGAGGATGGTAATTGATATCCAAAAAACACTATGATATTGAGGGGGATTAACGCAATCACATATTTGATAGGTATTAGGTCTTGTCTTTGAATCTTGGTGACCAGGGCCACTACGACGATCGAATCGTGAAGCAATTCAAAGATATTATACCTATTGTATCATCATCAGTGATTGTAACAAAATGTATGGTGAAATAAAACATGACTGATGCAAATCAATGCTTTTATCATAACATGGGATAATTATGTTGAAATGCACAAGTTGAAGGTTATCAACATCAAGTTTCTCAAGAAAATGACGAAACAGTTTTATTTCTGGACTTTATCTTGGAGCTTTTCTGAACGTGAACTACTTTTGGTGTTGAAATTTTAGATAAATGTGAGGAGATATAACCGTCGAGTCTGTATCTCAAGGACCATCTTGATAAAGAGTACTTGAGGGTCGTATTGCAGACCCCATAGGTACCATAAAGATAAAACAATTTTAGAAAATTTTGTAACTTTCAACAGAGTAACCTTATTTTGAAACTAATTTTGTATTTTTTCGACAAAATTACTATCGTATTTGTCTAATATTCCTCGGCTTTGGAGAAACACTTGATTGTATATAAGAGAGAGACAGATAAAAATTCAAATATGGATAAAATACTAAGTAAGAAAACTAACTAGAATGTCTAGATTCATTCAGATATGTCTCTACTATGACATAAACAAAATCATTATGAATTGTTTTTGAGAATAATAGAATGAAAATAAGGAGTCCATTTTAATTCCTTCAATTCTCAATTTAGCCACTTGTTTGCATTACTAATTTAACAAATTATAACGAGCAAAATGTAAGTGTTTGATGACCTCTTCGTGGACACAGCCAGCCCTGAATGTTTATATGCTAATTTGATGAAAAGGAATCTACGAAAGTTATTGAAATACCGGATATACGGAACAATTGCTTAAGGTGAAATGATTACCTTAAACTTAAGTGTGTCGATGTACATATATGTAAATATATTAGTTTAACTACCTTCAAAAACTGTGATTGCTGTTACAAAATGTTCATGTATCTTGTGCCCCTCCTGTGCCTCAAACAACGTGTGTGCAAAAGTTTTATCATAATCGGCGTAACAGTTACTACGTTAAAGAGTTACAATTAGACTTGCAACGAATAGTATATTCGGCAGTATACCGAATACCGAATATTCGGCGAGGCCCCTGACCGAATAGCCGAATATTAGGCAAAAGTATTCGGCTGGATTTTAGCGCCAAAAACTTGTACAGACGTGAATTAAATTATGTACCTGTTTTATGTACCAATGACTAATTAATAAATGATTATAAAAGAAATAAGAACCTTACCCTTCTAAATTTTGATTACCACAATAATTCAAATACATAAAATCCTCCATTTTTCCAATTCAGAAGATGATTATGTACCTGTGTTATGCACCAATGACTACTTAAATGATTATCACAGAAATGAAAATATGAATATATACGTAATCAATCGATTTTAATTTTCCATTTTACCAATTATTTCTCAATGACAAAATATATTATTTAAGTATTCGGTATTCGGCCGAATATAATAAAAGCAGCCGAATAGGCCGAATACCGAATGGTAACCGAATATTCGTTGCAAGTCTAGTTACAGTTGAGATCGAGAGCATTAATAATTGTACCGTATCGATAAATACTAAAACCATCAGCAGGACATCGATATTATTGATTTTTGATCATATAGTGATTTTATTTTTTAAAAGACAACCGCATGAGAATATGTCCTGTGCCGCGGGGTATTTTACAAACATACATGAAACGGACACAAAGAACACCCAGACTCAGAACAACAATTTGTGGATCAGACTAAGTGTCGTCCCATGTTTGGTTTGAACCCACAACACTCGGCGCAGTAGGAGGCGGCGTTGCGACCACTTAAACCACTACGCCATCCGTGCAGTCTATATTGGTTTTATGTAATGTTAAAAGTCAAATTATTATGTTTATTCAAATCATAAGCAAAGGTTTCCAATATTTCAATTTGAAAGAAATTATCAGTTCTTAAATGAAATTTATCGCTGTGATAGTGTCCCATTGAAGATGTTTCAACAATAAGCAATATAAGATTCTAATTTGTTAGATGATGATGTAGTTTATCATTTGTAGTATCAACTAACTTAGACAGAGGATAACATTTTTTTTAATTGTATTATTTATCATCACCATCATTATGAAGTCATGAAGTGAAGAACACTCCTGGTGCATATTCCATAAATATAAGCCACCAAAATGTACAGAGTAATGCAGTGATCTTAGCCATCCATCCATCCATCTTAGCCGATTTTATTGTTTTAGAGAAGAAAAGCGAAGAAAAAGCGTAATATCAAAATTTATTTAAAACTTACCAATTCCACCATTCTCCTCACGACTCCTCAGTTTTTCCGCTTCCAGCATCTCATTTTGTCTTTGCATCCGTCTAAATATATCCACGATACCTTTTGGCACAACTCTTTCTGCTACTGTTCCAACAACGCTCTCTACTACACTCCCGGCAAATCCAAAAATGACTGATAAGGCGTCAGTTTTTGGTGCAGTGGTTGGAACAATATCTTTAGTATCGTAATAATCTTCTGGTACCTCTCCATCGTCTTCAGTATCTAACTCCGTGAATATAGGCACGTCTGTGTCTTCTACTTCGGTACTTAAGTCTATTTTACTTATATTTTCTTTATTCGTCGTATTTGTGTCAATAATATTAATTTTTATAAATACTTCAGTTTTGTTTGCTATTTTTGGTACTTCTGTATTTTCAAAGGTACTTTCGGTAGTCGTTAGATCTATTGGGCTGGAATCCGTTGTTGTTGGTGTCCATTGTGTGGTTTGCGTATACCGTTCTGTTATAGCCACATCGGTGGTGGTAGGAGTACTCGCTGTAAACTCTGTGTATATATCTGTTGTAGTGTCTGTCTCTTGTGTAGAAGATGGTAATGTAACTGTTTGTTTAATCTCAATTTTTGGAGTTTTCTTTGTTGTTGGCAAAGGGATTACTGTCAAATCAGCGTCCGTTGTACTTTCTGATGTACTTACCGGAGTATTATCAGTTGTACTTACCAGTTCTACAGGTATAACACTATAGTCTGTAGTAGACGTTACTTCTAATTTGGTTTCTGTTTTGTTTATATCATTATTGAACTTATTTTCTACTTTCTTATCACTTTCTTTTACTATGGTATATTTATGTGATTCTTTGTTAAAATAATCATTAGAGTTCCACGGGATATTTCCATACTTCTTATCATACTTTATTGTATACTCTTCATCAAAATCTATGATGCTGTTATCGAAATTGTCTTCAACAAACTTCCCATTAGGTATTGGAGTAGATTTAATACTCTTTGGCAGTGTGTATAAAGGGCAGCTTAACACAATTATGGCACTGATGATGAGGTACTTCATCCTTTTTCGGCGATGGTACGTTTTTGTGTATCCATCTGTAACAAACAAAGAAAGTATAAATATGAGTGCCTAGAATTAGGATATTTTGTTATGTTATCACGTGATAACTAATTAAATTGGGTTGTTTTATTAAAAAAAAATCGGGAATGGAGTTATAAAAATTAAGCAGCAGACAAGCATTCTTAGTCAAGATTGGTTTAGCTGGTGCTCTACCATCTAAACCAATCTGGACTTAAAATAAAAATAACTTTAAGACCAACCATTACCCCGCGTAAAATATTTTACCAATAAATTTTACATAACTAATTTCTATGATTAATTAAAACCACATTTTATTATATTTTTTATTGTCATTGTTGCCGACGATGCCTTGTTGTTCAATTAAACTATGTGCCTTTTGGTTGCTACACATTTATTTTTACTTTTACACAGTAATTGCAGTAATAATAGAAGAAAATGGTTTTTGGTCGCCGGTCTTACATGTTCGTTTTTGTTGTCTGTCAAAACAGGGGGACGCTTCTCGAACCGTCTTTGTTACGTCACCTTGACATTCAGCTAATCACGTTCAAGCGCGGAATGGCGCGGTTATTTAAATTAGTTAAAGCGTTAACAGTCATTATTAAATATAACCTGTGGCAATTTATTATAAGAGGTCATACTCGTAACAATTACAATTTACGACCATTAAATAAGTGGGAAACTAAAAAAAATGTTTCATTTACACGTTATTTTACAAATTCAATTTGTAAATAAATAATAATTCTTATATTGCAAACTGCATATTATTCATTAGTTTCACAAGTCAACAAGCAGGTAGAACAAAGTATGTCTGAGTGAGTGCACATCTCGTAACGTATTCATTGTGAGTTCTTACATAACGTTCACACTTGACGAGCATGCGTACTTTACGCATCACAGTATTTCTGAAAAATTAATCGTCAAGACACCATGAGAGTGCTATACCCGACTAAGGACTGCAAAGAGAAGGAAAACTTGACACAAACGTTATACCAACTCGTTTGGCTAGCGTGATATATCAAGCCAAAACCTTCTTTCTAAAGAGAGGCCTATGACCAGCAGTGGACTACTAAAGGCTGTTGATAACTTTTCCCATCTTATTCCCAAATTGCACAGATGCCGTCAACTGAGCACTTTGCCGCTTACGTAATCGAAGAAAATGCCTGTTACCGGTAACATTCTTTCGTGCTATTAGGTAAACGTATTAAAATTATAATTATAACGTAACATCTGGCCGTGCGCTTGAGTGCGTGCTATTGACTTCACCGATGAGCGCACGAGGTGCTACTTGACTTAACCAACAAGCGCACGCGATGCAATTTGACTTGACCAATGAGCGCACGCGATGCTTTAGTTGGCCGTCACATAGTAGGTGAGATGTCAAATTTAATATTATTTGCGAACTCTGTTTCTTTTTTTACTCTAATCTAAATATTTCCACTTTTAATTCCAAAAGAAGTTGGTGAAATGCGTGAGTGTGTATTTATAAAACATTACCCTTTTAATAAGACGTTCAAAGACAAATGAACCCTGCTACAAAGTTATTTAAGTCGAATTTTGATTGTTACTGAACCATGCTAGACAATCAATCTAATTCCGCCAGTTTAGTGCACATGCTATTTATTGGCGTGATTTGATGGTCTAGTGTGATATCCTAATTACCAAGCCAGAGGTAGACTCCCACCTTTTTTTTTTCTTTTTTTTTTCCGTGCAGAAATCCCCTCGGATAGCACCTGTCGGTGGCATGTCGGACTCGGACCGACTAAAACCGCACGCCGTCTCTGGTACTAATAGCCGGGGAACCAGGTATACCCTAGAAAGGAAGTCCCTGGTGCCCCGACATATCTCAGGTCATCTACAGACGAGTAGACGACCCCCCCCCCCCCCCCGTGTGGGAACCCCATGTTCCCTGTGCTCCCTGGAAGCGAGCACGCTTCGCAACGCGCTCGCCGCCACCCCGGCCTGCTTCTGCTAGGGTGACAGATGGCCTCACCTGTCACCCCCAGGCCTGCGCTTATGGAGGACGGAGGTAGTTCTGCGACCTCCGGCGCCTGAGTCGCCTGCGGTACCTGCCACCTTAGATAAATAATTATATGATGGCCACACAATTATCGGTACCCATAAACATAACAATGAATAATTATCTGTAATATAATTCTTAATGACAGTTCTTGGAGTTTGGCACCGTCTGAAGATTTTATTCACTAGTGGGAAAGCCATGATTCGGCCCATTTGGGCCGAATCTAGGCCCAGATAGACGGGAATGATGGGCATGGTCATTGGTGCCCTATCTGAGTGTATTTTAACTAAAATAATATATACGTATTTAAAAGTATATAATTATACTTATCAACAAAACACCTCTGTGGTTTATTTCGGCGTTTCTTCCCAGAGTCTTAGGAAATGCCAGCGCTTTCTAGCTGTAAATTTACTTACAGAAATAAATATCATTAATCATTAAACAGTCTTGTTACCACAGTATAGGTTCTGCCTAGTTTGGAATCAGAGGACCGTGTGTGAGATATATAAACTTATTATTATATCATAGAATCTTCCCGTGATCATTTTTCTTTTCTGCCATCGTAACATTTCTTAATTAAGTCTCATCTTTACCTGTCCCAAAAATACACCTCAAACACACAGCTTTGCAACACCCAAAGGTTTGACTGGAAGAAAATGCCTGAGGCATTAAGTCTGTCGTATGCAATATGTTTGCAGGAAGACTCAATAAATAAAATTGTCCAGATGTCCACAAAAGTAATCAGGTACTTTACAAATGGACAAAAATTACCTACTTAATTTTTTTCAAAGGATAAAAAACTGTTTCAGGGTCATTGATATCCCAGTCCTAGTAGGCCCGTCAATCACTGGAGGACTAATACTCCAGTATCTTTGAGCTATTGCAGTCACAATTGCGTTTCCTCATCCAAGATTTTGTGGTATCCCTAAATAAACCATCGCCGGTCTTAGGCTACTCTGCTGCAGACCCGAACCTCGCTCTATTCGTTTAGCTTGTCAAAATTTATCTAATGATAAATGATATTTATTTCTGTAAGTAAATCTTTTCAGATATTTTCTTTTATTATTTAAGTCGGAGTTTATCTTCTTCGTATACCCCGTCTTAATTCGATTCAGACGACCCAAGAGGACTTGATGTCATGCGGGTGAACGGCCGGAAAATGTCTTGCAACGTCACACTTTGCGCTGAACAGGCAGTAATAACAATAACTGGACACATCTCACTCGACAGTCTAATCCCAAACTAGGCAGAGCCTGTTCTATGCTAACCAGACTGTTGATAATCATTATCATCATCACTAACAGCCTTAAATAGTCCACTGCTGGACATAGGCCTCTCCTTAGAAAGGAAGTTTTGGCCTACTATACCACGCTGGCCAGACGGGTTGGTATAGGGTTTGTTTCAAGGTTTCCTTCTCTCTTACGACACCCACGGTATGAATATGGGTGGTGACACTTCGTATTCTTAATCCGTCACCACACGGATAACCACACTGTTGATAAACATACTATTATATTTCTAAATACATAAATATTTCAGAGAAGTTACACCCAGATACAGAAGCTGATCGTGCTTTTCACACTATTTTCATCACTGTTTTAAAAAGAAAACTCCCGCATTAGGAATATATATCCTGTATCGCAGAAGATTTTAAAAATATACATGAAACGGACACAAAGAACACCCAGACACGAAATAACAATTTGTGGGGATCAAATCCACTGCACTCAACATAGCAGGAAGCGGCGTGGCGATCACTTAAACCATCACGCCATCTGTGCAGTCAATTATATGTCTTACGTGACAATCGAACCCATGACCTCTGACTACCAGGCCCGACTACCAGACCAACAGGCCCGTCTGATGATGATAAGAAAAATAATAATGAACTCAGACAGTTGTGCGGTTTGCCGAAATCATCATTAACGGGTGTGAAGGCATGGGTAAAACGCAGTTATGTTATATAGTTAGCCTTCTGCAGTCGATTGTAGGGCGCACCTGCCTACAAAAGTGAAGGGCACACAATCCAATCCTTACCTAAAGAGTGTTAAAAACAAGTTAAGCGATGCAGTAAATACAAAATAATATGCTTTTAGTGGCTTTGAAAGTGACAAATTAACACACGGCTGACTTAATGGCGAACGGTTATTATCGGTACCCATAAACATAACAATGAGTAACTATCTGTATAATAACTATTAATGCGCCTTCTTGGTGTTTGGCGTCATCTGAGGATTTTATTCACTAAGAATATAGCCATTCTTCGGCCCATTTGGGGCAGATCGACCGGAATGATACTAAGGAATGGTAAACAACGGTTCTTTTTACCGAGTGAGTGAGATTACGGAAAGTGGAACCTAAAGCCTTGTAAGGATTGCAAAGAAAATGCGTTCACTGCTGAGTTTGAAACAACCTTAAATAATTATTTTTCGCATAAGATTGTATATTCGCCGTTTAGTCCCATTCGAATTAAAAAAAAATAACACCTGTAAGGGTAGAGTATTAAAGAATTATGAAATAATTAGTTCATCATGATGAAATAATTATAATACTACCAAAACAATCATGTTTTCATCATTGCAGGCATATATATATGGATGTATGTGTGTAAGTTTATGTTTTTTATATTTATAGTATTATATAGTACCTATAAATTATATTTACATCTATATATGTATACCCAGTATATCTGTGTACCATAAAATCTTGCAACCGACTACAATTTAAATAATTTATCTCATTATACACCTGCCACACACAAATCTCTGCATCACTCCAGGTTGACTGGAAGAAAATGCCTGTGGCATAAGTCCGCCTTATGCAATGTATTTGCAGGAAGTATAAATAAATAAAACAAGCGCAGAAAATAACAGTAATTCGAACGATTCTCCTTAACCGTGGACCCATTTCGTTGACTAAGGTATCCAAGCCAATATGATCTTGATATGGTCAAACATATCTA